TTTTTTTGGGTGATCCCCACCATGGCAGTCTATCTGGCATATATTCCAGCATTCTATCTGGCACACATTCTGGGCTGTGTTCTGACATATTTTCTCACACTATTGCCAGATCTTTCTAGCATTTATTCTGACATTCTGTCTAGCATAAATAACTTTAAATAATGATATTATATGATATTCAATTTATCTATCTGGCACATATCTTTGCATTCTATCTGGCATATGTTCTGACATTATTTCTGGGATTAATAATGACCTTCTTCCTGGGATCTGGCATTCTTCCGGGGCAATCTATTTGGCATCTCTTCTTGCATTCAGCCCTGGATGTTTATCTGCTTCAGGCCCGCCGCAATCTTGAGCGAGCTTCGGGCCCGGTGGTGCCCGGTTGGGCTCGGAAAAGCAAAAAAAGAACTGTGCTATATACTTAAGCATCAATCTCCAATATTGACATGGGAATTGAAGTAATTATATACCTAGTTACCTAGTAATTCTGTGTGCTATATACACATATTGTGTTCTAGAGCTTGTGAGTTGCATTGCTCACAAATTTCATCTGCACGATCATTGTATGTGAATCTTGCAAATATCCAAAGGGTCCGAGCGTCAAAAATGGATTCGTGGGCGAAGGACTTTTTGGGGTTGAGGAATCATTCGACACCCGTCAGTCAGCAGCTATGGCTATGACCTCTTCAAATCCAAACACCAAAGACCGCCAATCCGCGCCTTGCTTAGAGCTTCGCAGCTTTCCAAGAAGGCAACCTTGCACACCGAGCAGAACCAATTCTGGAGAGTGACGGCTGACATCGGCGCATTTGCTTTCGACATCTGACACAAGAAAATAGATGTCGGTCTGTGGGTCTGTGGTATCCATGACATCTCAAAGATCTCAACGGTTTCTTTGCAGAATCCGGGTGTGAGTTCACCAGACTTCGGGTGAGTTCCCTAGATGTGCCTTTTTCCAGAAAAGGGTGGAGGGGTGGATGGATGTCCTCATTGCTTCCCCATGTCCTCATGACTTCCTATGACTTCCGATCCAAGGCACCACCAAGAGCCAGCTTTCGAGTCCACACAGAGAGGCACCACATGTGGCGGCAGGGCAGCGTGGGGGCCGCAGGCCTATGGTGGAAGTGTCTGTGTACGGAGCCCATGGCTCTACCAAGCTCCGCCCAGAAAAGAAACAAAACACACATGTTCCGCCCAAAAATATACAGTAAAACTGTGAGTCTGAGTCTGAATGAGGGGATCGTTGGGGCTCCGAAAATACCAGCGGAGTCCTTCAGGCTCGGCTTGGGAAGCTGAGAATCTCGGCCTGAAAATTTGGGTCAGTTGCTAAGAGATCCTGAGAGAATCTTCGTGCAGCTCAACCGGGCTGAACCACCAAGATGTTCGGGCTGAACACGGACGAAAATCTTGAGTTGACCATAAAGGATATTGCCCTTGGGGGGGACGGTTTCTTCATTGTTGAAGACTTCATGAACATATTCTCTGCAAGGCGAAGTGAGATGCTGAACTCTTCTTAGCAGCGAATGACCTGTAGATGTCTCTTGATGTTTCTCACAAGCTTGCTAGTATATAGGACAGGCCTAGGCCGCCTAGGCCTCTTTACTGGTCTTCTTTGAAGAAATCCTGAACACCCCGGGAACCACGGAGCTGGATTGCAGTGAGTCAATGGGCTGGGTCTCCGTACGTGTAGATAGGTGCAGGAGTTGTCGATCAACCGAATTGCCAGACTGGTCCTTCTCTTCTGGATGTATCAGAATCGCGGCAGTACACTGCCAGCTTAGATTAGGCCTTCTTTTGACCGTGGAGGTGCGAGGAGATTGTTAACAAAAGGCCCTTGCCCAGCCGCATTAGCGCTTGTGCGTCTGTCTGGGATGCTTCAGCCCAGCAGCTCACCGCTTGCATCAGCCCAACACGGGCCGGGCAGCATCCACCATTGCAGCACAGATCGTGTTGCTTGTGCCAGTTCAATTGATTCAGAGGGTCGGCTGCTGATCTTTACTGCTTCACCTCTATAACTAAACGAATGGCAAGGACAGAATGAGCAACCTCTTCCTGCTACACACTTCTCGAACAGACTCACCCTTCGAACGGTCCACGACGGGTCCATAGGGATTTTCAGCCATCAAGGGGGGCCAGATGTGTGAAACGGTCACTTTGAGCGTTCATGTGAATATGAAAAGATATGAAACATTTGTCCAGCTGAAGCCCTGATGACCTCTGTTATGTTGCTTCTGGTCAAGCTTATCACAGTCTTGAAACACTGAATACAGTTCAAGTTCTGGCATAGCGATTCTACCACATCTTGCGCTATTTCGATCTATTTGGATATATTTGGATAGGATCTCAACTCGTCTCCATTCCCAAAGGCCAGAAGTAAGTGTGTTGGCCGTGTGCTGCTAGCACCAGCTCTAGCATCATCTTTTTGTGTCCCGGTCCACTAAAGCTCATAAACGAAGGCTTCACCGAAGGTGTGGATTGAGAACCTGGACGGGTCATATTCACCACAAGGCGCAGGCTGAATCGGATTGCATGCGCAGCAGGCGCAGAAGGTTCCCCGGCAGCCCGGTTTGTTTGGTTGACGTGCAGAGGCGACCACAACGCGATGAAACATCTCATTTCCTCTCTCAAGTCATCTGCCGTATACGAGAATGAACATCACGAACCGACGGTCCGACATCACATGGAGTCCTGGACAGCCACTGGCTGTCAGGGAAGACCATGACATCCGAACACCCAGGGACCATGTGGCGACGTCCAATGCCATGGTGGCTGTGAGTCAGAGGGTAAATCGAAACGTGGAGTTGGGTCAAAACTAGACGCCTTGCTAGCAGTGCCCACCTGCCTTGCCTGCCAATGGCTCTCAAAACTCCAAACTCCCTTACTGTCGCTGTCTGTTCTTCTGGATAGATCCCGGAATGCTTAAAATGCATGACACACCCTTCACAGAACCCTGCAACAAACCTGTATCATATATTGTCATAGTGTGTCAAGCGAAAAATGCCCCGCCGAGAAGGCTTTATATGAGCAAGGCGCACCATTGGCCTAGGCTTTCATCCACCCCATGCGGCCTGTTGCATCTGCGCGTCCAGGCGCATCTCTCGAAACCGTTGCGCGTGGGCCTTGGGCACTGCATGGCTCTGCCAAATCACCATGCCTTTGGGGATCCAAATACCTTCTCAGAAGGTACGACTGGACCCTCCAAACCCTTCCAAGCTACATAACAGTGTCGAACACATCACCTTCTCAGAGGGTATGTTGATCCATAGGAATGGTTGGTCAGCTCTTGGTCATGTCTGCACGAACTTGGTCAGGGTATCCATTGCTGAGCCAAATCAAAGCCTGACCATTGTGGCATGCCCTCTCGGACCTTCACAAGGACCTCACCTTTTGCTCGCCAGATTGCTGATTGCTGTGATTGCTGAATTCCTGCCACACATTCAACTCATGAGTTGCCCCAAACTTCTCCCACCGCAGGAAGCGCTCGGAGATCTCCGGTCGCGCGACGCGTCATGCCGCGTCGTGCCGCGGTCGGTGCCGAGGAACGTGGTTCAGGGGCAGCACTGGCAGGGCCGAGATCTCGAGAGCAGCCTAGTCTCGCCGAGAGACTCGTGTTCCGATGGAGAAAGCAGCCACACTGTGTTCCGAACAACAAAGGCAGGTGCTCTTTTTGGCAGGTGCTCTGAACTGATTACCCCCAACGCCCTTTTGAAAAAATAGACTGAACCGAACGCTCTCCACCCTTGTTCGACTTCTGTCTCTAAGATGGGTCCTCCCCCTGCCCAAGTTCGCTGTGGCCCAAAAGCATTTTCGGTGAAACAAAACCATGTCGTTCAGCAGTGGAGGCTGTGGCCCTGCCTGCATGGAGTAGGTCTTCCGGCCGTGACGATGGGAGCTTGCACGATTGGCCTCAAAGGAACGACATAGGAAGCGAAGGGACGGGCATTCTCCCCGAGATCGGCCAGCAAAAGGGTCAGTCAGGGTGTTCTACTGGTGCATACATCTTCTATGCACCATATATGGTTTTAAAAATAGACAGAAGCGCATCCCCAACAGCGAAATATGCTCAGCTTCAACCCGTGAGACCATCTGTTGGGGCGCAGCTTGAGACCACCCCGATCAAACCGGGCAAATGTCAGCCAAACTATGCCAAACTATGCAATACCGTAAACCAGAATGGATCAATGGTTTGAGTCTACACTGGCCTCCTGATGTTCCTTCAAAAAGCATTTTACACATTGCCCTATTAAGAAACCACTCAAAGTTCGCGATATCAACCCAAAAATAACCGTTGACTTGCTTATATAACAAAGAAAACAAGTCGGCAAAATCCAACTCTATATCGATGTTTGCTGCCTTTCTGCTGCTTGCTTCACCAGATCAGTAGGCATCCACGGGGACAGTGAAGATATACAGTAACAGTTATAATCTGTATATAGTGAAGATGCCTCTATAGTATAAGGAAGTGTGTTATTTTTTCACGTTTCTTTCTAGTGAGGGCCCCAAATCTCAGGTGATCTCAAAGATTCCACCATTTCCAGATCCGACTCGGCTCTCCCAACACCCCGTTGCGCGAGTTGCGCGCAATTGGTTATCGGTGTTCTGAGGTGGTCACCTTGAAGATCTGTACCTCTTCTTCATCGCTAAAGTCGCTTTCCTCCTCTGACAGGAGATCCTCGCGAGGATGTCACACCACGACGATTGAGGATCGTTTCGGTTCGATGGCACGAACCCAAAGAATCCCGACAAGCAGATGTCTTTTAGATGGGGGTCCATATATAAACATATAACTATAATATATATACAGTATAACTATATTACACAATATATACCACCTTTGAGGGGGGATTGTGCCATCTGAACCCGCGGTATTCAGAGGATGCCGTTCTGGCAAAAGCGACCACGGCAGGCAAACAACGGCAGGCGACGCGGTCTGCCCGGTCTGAGAAGGCCTTTGAGTCATCACTGCGAATGGCACCGGACGACCCACCGGTGGACATCGAGCTTCGGGTCACTTTCCATCCGATACACAAAGCCAACGAGCGAGGAGGTTAGAGTCTGAGGTCAGACTCTAGAGGAGGTTGGTGAAGACGCAAGTGGAGCATGAGGTGAAGACGCAAAGCACCCCTGCCACTTGTTCCAGATCAAGGGGATGAGTCGCCCTAAGTACAAGTAGCATTGGGCCCTCCTAGAGGTTTTTGACCCTGCTATGAGCAGGGGTTTCGGACCCTCAAAACCTCCAATTTGAGGGTCCTTGCTTCCTTAAGTGAGGCAAAAAACAAACACTTCAATTACGGATACTTAAGGACTCCCATCGGACCGTAAACACTCCAATTGGATCCGTCAACGGTACCGTGAGTCGCCACCCACGCCGTCCACGCTCGACGACCCAGGCGCCACCGCCCCCACCCCCGGTCGGCCACCGCCTCACCGCGCTCGATCGAGGGCCCGTGCACCGCCTCGAGCGACGTCGAGTCGACCGGCGCGGACCGTGCGACGTCGTCGGCGGAGGAAAAGGGGTGGCGTTCTGGAAGAGTGGACAGTACAGTTGAGGAGTCCAAGCAATCCAAGCAAGAAAAACAGCAAGACACGACCAGTTGAGGAGTCTCTACTCTGTTGAGGAGTCTTTACAAGCAAATATACCAATAGACCGACTGAACAGGAATGGAATGACCCGAGACTCGGCTTCTGACCCGAGGACCCTCGGTCGAAAAGGTAAAAGGATGACCTATACAGCTGCTGAGGTCGGGTCCTGAGGTCCTGATCTTGACGACTCATCTCTTGACATCGAGACGAACCCCCCCAGGATGACCGGGCCTCTGGAACTCTTCGGGTCACTCGGGTCACCTCCGGCTTTGGAACCTCTAACCCGGTTCGCAGGTCACTCCGGTGGCAAAAAAAAAACCGAAAACAAAACACCTGCCAGCAGTCACAAGACGGGGTGCCGAACTTGGAAGATAGGGGTGCCCAGCTACTCCACGGCCCCTGGATGGGCCTCAAAACGCACCCAACTCCATATGACTCCTGGTGGTTTTTGAGGCCACCAGACTCTCCTCGTCCACCTTCCGGTCGTCCGCCTTCTCCACCGTGACGGAGGAGGCCTTGGGCGTTTTGGCCTTTCGCTCCTGTCCACCTGCACGGGGTCCGGGGACCCGACGAAGGATACGGTGACGTTCCTTCTCTTGAGTTGGTCTTGGAGTCGAGGTGCTGCTTGAAGATGCTTGAGGTATTGGGATGGATTGGGATGGATTGGGATGGATTGGGATGGATTGGGA